ATGACGACCTCTTCAGTTAGAAAACACAGGTCGACCACCTCGCCTTCCACACCGCCCATACGACGAACCCCTTCGGTTAGAAACCCAGGCACGACCACCTCTCCTACCAACATTGCCCATACGACGACTCCTTCGGTTAGAAACACAAGCACGACCACCTCTCCTACCAACACCGCCGACATGACGACCCCTTCGGTTAGAAACACAGGTACGACCACCTCTGCTACCAACACCGCCCATACGACGACCCCTTCGGTTAGAAACACAGGTACGACCACCTCTCCTACCAACACCGCCCATACGACGACCCCTTCGGTTAGAAGCACTGACACGTCCACCTCTGCTACCAACACCGCCCATACGACAACCCCTTTGGTTAGAAACACAGGTACGACCACCTCGCCTACCAACACCGCCCATACGACGACCCCTTCGGTTAGAAACACAGGTACGACCACCTCTCCTACCAACACCGCCCATACGACGACCCCTTCGGTTAGAAACACGGGTACGACCACCTCGCCTACCAACACCGCCGACACGACGACCCCTTCGGTTAGAAACACAGGTACGACCACCTCTCCTACCAACACCGCCGACACGACGACCCCTTCGGTTAGAAACACAGGACACGACCGCCTCTGCTACCAACACCGCCGACACGACGACCTCTTTGGTTAGAAACACAGATACGACCACCTCGCCTTCCAACACCGCCCATACGACGACGCTTTCGGTTAGAAACACAGGCACGACCACCTCGCCTACCAACACCGCCGACACGACGACCCCTTCGGTTAGAAACACAGGCACGACCGCCTCTGCTACCAACACCGCGACACGACGACCTCTTCGGTTAGAAACACAGGTACGACCACCTCGCCTTCCAACACCGCCCATACGACGACCCCTTCGGTTAGAAACACAGGCACGACCACCTCTCCTACCAACACCGCCGACACGACGACCTCTTCGGTTAGGAACACAGGTACGACCACCTCGCCTTCCAATACCGCCCATACGACAGCCCCCTCGGTTAGAAACACAGGTACGACCACCTCGCCTTCCAACACCACCCATACGACGACCCTTCGGTTAGAAACACAGACACGACCACCTCTGCTACCAACACCGCCGACACGACAACCCCTTCGGTTAGAAAACACAGGCACGACCACCTCTGCTACCAACACCGCCCATACGACGACCCCTTCGGTTAGAAACACAGGCACGACCGCATCTGCTACCAACACCGCCGACACGACGACCTCTTTGGTTAGAACACAGGTACGACCACCTCTCCTACTAACACCGCCCATACGACGACCCCTTCGGTTACAAACACAGGTACGACCACCTCTCCCACCAACACCGCCCATACGACGACCTCTTCGGATAGAAACACAGGCACGACCACCTCGCCTACCAATACCACCGACACGACGGCCTCTTCGGTTAGAAATACAGGTACGACCACCTCGCTTTCCAACACAGCCGACACGACGACCCCTTCGGTTAGAAACACAGGCACGACCACCTCTGCTACCAACACCGCCGACACGACGACCCCTTCGGTTACAAACACAGGCACGACCGCCTCTGCTACCAACACCGCCGACACGACGACCTCTTTGGTTAGAAACACAGGTACGACCACCTCGCCTTCCAACACCGCCCATACGACGACCCCTTCGGTTAGAAACACAGGCACGACCACCTCGCCTACCAACACCGCCGACACGATGACCCCTTCGGTTACAAACACAGGTACGACCACCTCGCCTACCAACACCGCCGACACGACGACCCCTTCGGTTAGAAACACAGGCACGACCGCCTCTGCTACCAACACCGCCGACACGACGACCTCTTCGGTTAGAAACACAGGTACGACCACCTCGCCTTCCAACACCGCCCATACGACGACCCTTCGGTTAGAAACACAGGTACGACCACCTCGCCTACCAACACCGCCGACACGACGACCCCTTCGTTAGAAACACAGTCACGACCACCTCTCCTTCAACACCGCCGACACGACGACCCCTTCGGTTAGAAACACATGCACGACCGCCTCTGCTACCAACACCGCCGACACGACGACCTCTTCGGTTAGAAACACAGGCACGACCACCTCTGCTACCAACACTGCCGACACAACGACCTCTTCGGTTAGAAACACAGGTACGACCATGTCGCCTTCCAACACCGCCCATATGACAACCCCTTCGGTTAGAAACACAGGTACGAGCACCTCTGCTACCACAACCGCCGACATGACGACCTCTTCAGTTAGAAACACAGGTACGACCACCTCGCCTTCCAACACCGCCCATACGACAACCCCTTCGCTAGAAACACAGGTACGACCACCTCGCCTTCCAACACCGCCCATACGACGACCCCTTCGGTTAGAAACACAGGTACGACCACCTCTCCTTCCAACACAGCCGGACACGACGACCCCTTCGGTTAGAAACACAGGCTCGACCGCCTCTGCTACCAACACCGCCGACACGACGACCTCTTCGGTTAGAAACACAGGTACGACCACCTCGCCTTCCAACACCGCCCATACGACGACCCCTTCGATTAGAAACACAGGTACGACACCTCTGCTACCAACACCGCCGACATGACGACCTCTTCAGTTAGAAACACAGGTACGACCACCTCGCCTTCCAACACCGCCCATACGACAACCCCTTCGGTTAGAAACACAGGCACGACCAACTCTCCTACAAACACCGCCGCATATGACGACCCCTTCGGTTAGAAACACAGGCACGACCACCTCTCCTACCAACACCGCCCATACGACGACCCTTTCGGTTAGCAAACACAGGTACGACCACCTCTCCTACCAACACCGCCCATACGACGACCCCTTCGGTTAGAAACACAGGCACGACCACCTCTCCTACCAACACCGCCCATACGACGACCCTTTCGGTTAGAAACACAGGTACGACCACCTCTCCTACCAACACCGCCCATACGACGACCCCTTCGGTTAGAAACACAGGCACGACCACCTCTCCTACCAACACCGCCGACACGACGACCCCTTCGGTTAGAAACACAAGCACACGTACCACCTCTGCTACCAACACCGCCGACATGACGACCTCTTCGGTTAGAACACAGGTACACGACCACCTCTGCCTACCAACACCGCCCATACGACGACCCCTTCGGTTAGAAACACAGGCACGACACCTCTCCTACCAACACCTGCCCATACGACGACCCCTTCGGTTAGAAACACAAGACACGACCACCTCTCCTACCAACACCGCCCATACGACGACCTCCTTCGGTTAGAAACACAGGTACGACCTACCTCTGCCTTCCAACTACCGCCCATACGACGACCCCTTCGGTTAGAAACACAGGTACGACCACCTCTCCTACCAACACCGCCCATATGACGACCCCTTCGGTTAGAAGCACTGACCGTCCACCTCTTCCTACCAACACCGCCCATACGACGAACCCCTTTGGTTGAAACACAGGTACGACCACCTCGCCTTCCAACACCGCACATACGACGACCCCTTCGGTTAGAAACACAGGCACGACCACCTCTCCTACCAACACCGCCCATACGACGACCCCTTCGGTTAGAAACACAGGTACGACCACCTCGCCTTCCAACACCGCCCATACGACGACCCCTTCGGTTAGAAACACAGGCACGACCACCTCTCCTACCAACACCGCCCATACGACGACCCCTTCGGTTAGAAACACAGGCACGACCACCTCTGCTACCAACACCGCCGACACGACGACCCCTTCGGTTAGAAACACAGGTACGACCACCTCTGCCTACCAACACCGCCCATACGACGACCCCTTCGGTTAGAAACACAGGCACGACCACCTCTGCTACCAACACCGCCGACACGACGACCCTCTTCGGTTAGAAACACAGGTACGACCACCTCTGCCTACCAACACCGCCCATACGACGACCCTTTCGGTTAGAAACACAGGTACGACCACCTCGCCTACCAACACCGCCCATACGACGACCCCTTCGGTTAGAAACACAGGCACGACCACCTCTCCTACCAACACCGCCGACACGACGACCTCTTCGGTTAGAAACACAGGTACGACCACCTCGCCTTCCAACACCGCCCATACGACGACCCCTTCGGTTAGAAACACAGGTACGACCACCTCTCCTACCAACACCGCCGACTACGACGACCCCTTCGGTTAGAACACAGGACACGACCACCTCTGCTACCAACACCGCCGACACGACAACCCCTTCGGTTAGAAACACAGGCTACGACCACCTCTGCCTTCCAACACCGCCCATACGACGACCCCTTCGGTTAGAAACACAGCACGACCACCTCTGCTACCAACACCGCCGACACGACGACCTCTTCGGTTAGAAACACAGGCTACGACCACCTCTGCCTACCAACACCGCCGACACGACGACCCCTTCCGTTAGAAACACAGGTACGACCACCTCGCCTTCCAACGCCGCCCATACGACGACCCCTTCGGTTAGAAGCACAGGCACGACCACCTCTGCTACCAACACCGCCCATACGACGACCCCTTCGGTTAGAAACACAGACACGTCCACCTCTGCTACCAACACCACCGACATGACGACCTCTTCAGTTAGAAACACAGGTACGACCACCTCGCCTTCCAACACCGCCCATACGACGACCCTTTCGGTTAGAAACACAAGCACGACCACCTCTCCTACCAACATTGCCCATACGACGACTCCTTCGGTTAGAAACACAAGCACGACCACCTCTCCTACCAACACCGCCGACATGACGACCCCTTCGGTTAGAAACACAGGTACGACCACCTCTGCTACCAACACCGCCCATACGACGACCCCTTCGGTTAGAAACACAGGTACGACCACCTCTCCTACCAACACCGCCCATATGACGACCCCTTCGGTTAGAAGCACTGACACGTCCACCTCTGCTACCAACACCGCCCATACGACAACCCCTTCGGTTAGAAACACAGGTACGACCACCTCGCCTTCCAACACCGCCCATACGACGACCCCTTCGGTTAGAAACACAGGTACGACCACCTCTCCTACCAACACCGCCCATACGACGACCCCTTCGGTTAGAAACACGGGTACGACCACCTCGCCTACCAACACCGCCGACACGACGACCCCTTCGGTTAGAAACACAGGTACGACCACCTCTCCTACCAACACCGCCGACACGACGACCCCTTCGGTTAGAAACACAGGCACGACCGCCTCTGCTACCAACACCGCCGACACGACGACCTCTTTGGTTAGAAACACAGATACGACCACCTCGCCTTCCAACACCGCCCATACGACGACGCTTTCGGTTAGAAACACAGGCACGACCACCTCGCCTACCAACACCGCCGACACGACGACCCCTTCGGTTAGAAACACAGGCACGACCGCCTCTGCTACCAACACCGCCGACACGACGACCTCTTCGGTTAGAAACACAGGTACGACCACCTCGCCTTCCAACACCGCCCATACGACGACCCCTTCGGTTAGAAACACAGGCACGACCACCTCTCCTACCAACACCGCCGACACGACGACCTCTTCGGTTAGGAACACAGGTACGACCACCTCGCCTTCCAATACCGCCCATACGACAGCCCCCTCGGTTAGAAACACAGGTACGACCACCTCGCCTTCCAACACCACCCATACGACGACCCCTTCGGTTAGAAACACAGACACGACCACCTCTGCTACCAACACCGCCGACACGACAACCCCTTCGGTTAGAAACACAGGCACGACCACCTCTGCTACCAACACCGCCCATACGACGACCCCTTCGGTTAGAAACACAGGCACGACCGCCTCTGCTACCAACACCGCCGACACGACGACCTCTTTGGTTAGAAACACAGGTACGACCACCTCTCCTACTAACACCGCCCATACGACGACCCCTTCGGTTACAAACACAGGTACGACCACCTCTCCCACCAACACCGCCCATACGACGACCTCTTCGGATAGAAACACAGGCACGACCACCTCGCCTACCAATACCACCGACACGACGGCCTCTTCGGTTAGAAATACAGGTACGACCACCTCGCTTTCCAACACAGCCGACACGACGACCCCTTCGGTTAGAAACACAGGCACGACCACCTCTGCTACCAACACCGCCGACACGACGACCCCTTCGGTTACAAACACAGGCACGACCGCCTCTGCTACCAACACCGCCGACACGACGACCTCTTTGGTTAGAAACACAGGTACGACCACCTCGCCTTCCAACACCGCCCATACGACGACCCCTTCGGTTAGAAACACAGGCACGACCACCTCGCCTACCAACACCGCCGACACGATGACCCCTTCGGTTACAAACACAGGTACGACCACCTCGCCTACCAACACCGCCGACACGACGACCCCTTCGGTTAGAAACACAGGCACGACCGCCTCTGCTACCAACACCGCCGACACGACGACCTCTTCGGTTAGAAACACAGGTACGACCACCTCGCCTTCCAACACCGCCCATACGACGACCCCTTCGGTTAGAAACACAGGTACGACCACCTCGCCTACCAACACCGCCGACACGACGACCCCTTCGGTTAGAAACACAGGCACGACCACCTCTCCTTCCAACACCGCCGACACGACGACCCCTTCGGTTAGAAACACAGGCACGACCGCCTCTGCTACCAACACCGCCGACACGACGACCTCTTCGGTTAGAAACACAGGCACGACCACCTCTGCTACCAACACTGCCGACACAACGACCTCTTCGGTTAGAAACACAGGTACGACCATGTCGCCTTCCAACACCGCCCATATGACGACCCCTTCGGTTAGAAACACAGGTACGAGCACCTCTGCTACCAACACCGCCGACATGACGACCTCTTCAGTTAGAAACACAGGTACGACCACCTCGCCTTCCAACACCGCCCATACGACAACCCCTTCGGCTAGAAACACAGGTACGACCACCTCGCCTTCCAACACCGCCCATACGACGACCCCTTCGGTTAGAAACACAGGTACGACCACCTCTCCTTCCAACACAGCCGACACGACGACCCCTTCGGTTAGAAACACAGGCTCGACCGCCTCTGCTACCAACACCGCCGACACGACGACCTCTTCGGTTAGAAACACAGGTACGACCACCTCGCCTTCCAACACCGCCCATACGACGACCCCTTCGATTAGAAACACAGGTACGACCACCTCTGCTACCAACACCGCCGACATGACGACCTCTTCAGTTAGAAACACAGGTACGACCACCTCGCCTTCCAACACCGCCCATACGACAACCCCTTCGGTTAGAAACACAGGCACGACCAACTCTCCTACAAACACCGCCGATATGACGACCCCTTCGGTTAGAAACACAGGCACGACCACCTCTCCTACCAACACCGCCCATACGACGACCCTTTCGGTTACAAACACAGGTACGACCACCTCTCCTACCAACACCGCCCATACTGACGACCCCTTCGGTTAGAAACACAGGCACGACCACCTCTCCTACCAACACCGCCCATACGACGACCCTTTCGGTTAGAAACACAGGTACGACCACCTCTCCCACCAACACCGCCCATACGACGACCCCTTCGGTTAGAAACACAGGCACGACCACCTCTCCTACCAACACCGCCGACACGACGACCCCTTCGGTTAGAAACACAGACACGACCACCTCTGCTACCAACACCGCCGACACGACGACCCCTTCGGTTAGAAACACAGACACGACCACCTCTGCTACCAACACCGCCGACACGACGACCCCTTCGGTTAGAAACACAGGCACGACCACCTCTGCTACCAACACCGCCGACACGACGACCCCTTCGGTTAGAAACACAGACACGACCACCTCTCCTACCAACACCGCCCATACGACGACCTCTTCGGTTAGAAACACAGGTACGACTACCTCGCCTTCCAATACCGCCCATACGACAACCCCCTCGGTTAGAAACACAGGCACGACCACCTCTCCTACCAACACCGCCGACACGACGACCCCTTCGGTTAGAAACACAGGTACGACCACCTCTCCTACCAACACCGCCGACACGACGACCTCTTCGGTTAGAAACACAGGCACGACCACCTCTCCTACCAACACCGCCCATACGACGACCCCTTCGGTTAGAAACACAGGTACGACCAACTCTCCTACCAACACCGCACATACGACGACCCCTTCGGCTAGAAACACAGGTACGACCACCTCGCCTTCCAACATCGCCGATACGACGACCCCTTCGGTTAGAAACACAGGTACGACCACCTCTCCTACCAACACCGCACATACGACGACCCCTTCGGCTAGAAACACAGGTACGACCACCTCGCCTTCCAACACCGCCGATACGACGACCCCTTCGGTTACAAACACAGGTACGACCACCTCTCCTACCAACACCGCACATACGACGACCCCTTCGGTTAGAAGCACAAACACGACCACCTCTGCTACCAACACCGCCGACACGATGACCTCTTCGGTTGGAAAAACAAACACGACCACCTCGCCCTCCAACATCGCCCATACGACGACCTCCTCGGTTAGAAACACAGGCACGACCACCTCTGCTACCACCACCACCCATACGACGACCCCATCGGTTAGAAACACAGGTACGACCACCTCTCCTACCAACACTACCCAGACGACTACCCCTTCGGTTAGAAACACAGGTACGACCACCTCGCCTTCTAACACCGCCCATACGACGACTTCTTCGGTTAGAAACACAGGTACGACCACCTCTCCTACCAACACCGCCCATACAACGACCCCTTCGATTAGAAACACAGGTACGACCACCTCGCCTTCCAACACCACCCATACGACAACCCCTTCAGTTAGAAACACAGGTACGACCACCTCGCCTTCCAACACCGCCCATACGACGACCCCTTCAGTTAGAAACACAGGCACGACCACCTCGCCTTCTAACACCGTCGACACGACGACCCCTTCGGTTAGAAACACAGGTACGACCACCTCGCCTTCCAACACCGCCCATACGACGACCCCTTCGGTTAGAAACACAGGCACGACCACCTCGCCTTCCAACACCGTCGACACGACGATCCCATCGGTTAGAAACACAGGCACGACCATCTCTCCTACCAACACCGCTCATACGACGACCCCTTCGGTTACAAACACAGGTACGACCACCTCGCCTTCTAACACCGCCGACACGACGATCCCTTCGGTTAGAAACCCAGGCACGACCACCTCGCCTTCTAACACCGCCGACACGACGACTCCTTCGGTTAGAAACACAGGTACGATCACCTCGCCTTTCAACACCACCCATACAACGACCCCTTCGGTTAAAAACACAGGTACGACCACCTCGCCTTTTAACACCACCCATACGACGACCCCTTCGGTTAGAAACACAGGCACGACCACCTCTCCTACCAACACCGCCCATACGACGACCCCTTCGGTTAAAAACACAGGTACGACCACCTCTCCTACCAACACCGCCGACACAACGACCCCTTCGGTTAGAAACACAGGCACGACCACCTCTCCTACCAACACCGCCCATACGACGACCCTTTCGGTTACAAACACAGGTACGACCACCTCGTATTCTAACACCACCCATACGACGACCCCTTCGGTTAGAAACACAGGTACGACCACCTCTCCTACCAACACCGCCGACACGACGACCCCTTCGGTTAGAAACACAGGTACGACCACCTCGCCTTCCAACACCGTCGACACGACGACCCCTTCGGCTAGAAACACAAACACGACCACCTCGCATTCCAACACCGCCTATACGACGACCCCTTCGGCTAGAAACACAGGTACGACCACCTCTCCTACCAACACCGCCCATACGACGACCCCTTCGGTTAGAAACACAGGTACGACGATCTCGCCTTCCAACACCACCCATACGACGATCCCTTCGGTTAGAAACACAGGTACGACCACCTCTCCTACCAACACTGCCCATACGACGACCCCTTCGGTTAGAAACACAGGTACGACCATTTCGCCTTCCAACACCGCCTATACGACGACCCCTTCGGTTAGAAACACAGGTACGACCACCACGCCTTCCAACACCACCCATACGACGACCCCTTCGGTTAGATACACAGGTACGACCACCTTTCCTACCAACACTGCCCATACGACCCCCTCGCCTACCAACACTGTCGACTCGACGACCTCTTCGGCTAGACATACAGGTACGACCAATACAGATGGCGCAACGACCCCTTCGGTTAGAAACACAGGCATGACCACTTCTACTAACAGCGCTGACACGACGACCCATGCGATTTTAGACACAGGTATGACCACCTCTCCTACCAGCCCCGCCGACACAACAGCCCCTTTAGTTAGAAACATAGGTACGACTACCTCTCCTACAAACACCGCCCCCTTCAGTCAGAAACACAGGCACGACCACCTCTCTTACCAACACCACCTACACGACGACCCCTTCAGCTAGAAACACAGGCACAAACATATCCTCTACCAACCACAGACAGTACGACCCCTGTAGCTAGAAATATAGGTACGAACACCCCTATTAATACCACCAACACGACAACCACATCGGCTAGAAATACTGGTACGACCACTCTCCTACTAAGACCACTGAGACGACGACCCATACGATTATAAACACAGGTATGACCACCTTTCCTAGAAACACGACGACCCCTTTAGCTAAAACACAGGTACGACCACCTCTTCTACTAACACCGCCGACACCATAACCTCAGTAGCCAAAACCACAGGCACGACCACTTCTAAAAACACCATCAACACGACGACCTCTGTAGTTAGAAACACAACCATGACCACTTCTCCCATTAACACCACAGACACGACGACCCCTGTAGCTAGAAACACAGGTACGACTATCTCTCCCATTTACACTACAGACACAACGACCCCTATAACCGCAGCCAGAACCACTTCTACTAATACGACTTCTAGCGCTACATCTGCTGGGGCTACAGTTTTAGACACAACCCTGTCTGCTACTACGATGGCTGACTATAAAGTTGCGTTTGCAACCATGACAATAAAGCTACGTTTGCAACCACAGCCGTTACCCCATCTGCCAATGCGTCTGACGAAAATACATCTGCTTTGGCTACTACTAAAGGTACTACTACAGCTATAACCACCAACACAACCACTTCTGTTGCAGCGACTGCATCCAGCGCATCAGCCCCTGATACAACGGCCAGCGGTACGCTGGTCACTGATATGACTAATGGTGCGACAGGTACGACCACCCCTCCAACCAACACCGCCGACACCACGACCCCTTCGGATAGAAACACAGACACGACCACCTCTCCTACCAATACCGCAGACGCAACGACCTCTTCAACTAGAAACACAAGCACGACCACCTCTCCTACCAACACTGCCGACACGACGACCCCTTCGACTAGAAACACAAACACGACCACCTCTCCTTCCAACATCACTAACACGACGACCCTTATAACCGCAACCAGAACCACTTCTACTAATACGACTTCTAGCGCTACATCTGCTGGGACTACAGTTCTAGATACAACCCTGTCTGTTACTACGGTGACTGACAATAAAGCTACGTTTATAACCACAGCTGCTACCCCTTCTGTCAATACATCTGCTGTGGCTATAACCACCAACACAACCACTTCTGTTGCAGCGACTGCAGCCAGCGCATCAGCCCCTAATACAACGGCCAGTGGTACGCTGGTCACTGATACGACTAATGGTGCTCCCGTCCATACGACTTCCACGCATTCGACAGTGGTCACGACCAGCGGGGCCTCCGGAAGCGACACCACGACCCCCAACACTACGGTGTCCTCGCACCTCCCCTCTTGCGGCTGCGGGTGCAAGGCCAATGTTACGTCTACCACTGTGATCAGATGCAAAAAGGGCGCCAAAGGTTTCGTTTGTCGCTCTCCATTGTCGCTTATCTCTGTCGCATTCCTTTTGATAAGTGTCATGACGAAAATTAATGAATAATGATGACACCATCATGAGCCTTGTTGCCATAATTGATACAACCAATATTAGTAGCAGTCACTAGTACATGAAAAAGCAGGGATTCACCGATCATTACAGAAGCGTTATAATGATACACTATGAGACTGGACTCTCACCTCAACCCAATATCTCGTTACAGGTTGCAAGAAGCGTGGCAGCGTCTTCCTGAAGGTATTGCAGAGATTCAAACGCAACTAAACCTCGCGCTCTAAGAATCGCCGATGTTTTGTCTTCGATGAAACCGAGTAGCAAGGCTGATTTCTTTGGGCGTTGGGTCGAAGCGTCTTAACCTTGGAATGACGATTGCAAGTGATTGAGAGACTGTCATTCATCTTAGGAGTTTGGGGGACTCAAGTACTAAATATTTTATATATGAATATTACCAAAATTATCCTGTAAACAATGCATACATATTTCAAAAGGCTTATGTGAATGAATGCATATACCAGGCACGTTTTTCTTATTACTTTAATCAAACTAGTTACGTTCATAATTGAAATAAAATATTGATATGATCTGAGAAACTGACAGGGCGAAGGCGTACAGTGACTCGCAGCGTTTAACCGCAACCTCGGGTGAATTCCTTCATCGCTTAAAGAAGTTAAGCGATGAAGGAGGCTTCGTGCGATGCTTGGCAGTGCCTGCGAGCGGTCTTCAGTGGGAGGCTTGCCTCACCATGGCAGTCCATTCAGCTGTAGCCCACCTGCCCAGCCCCTTGTAAAACTTTTCTTAACCCCGGCAGCAGAGATTTATCACATCCAGTGTCTTAGGTTAAATATTTGTAAAAAAAAAAGTGACAATAATAAAGTAAATGGGAATGGTTTGCAGCTCAGTTTCATATTTACCATCACTATGTAAACTCCTTTATGTGTGATAAAGACATGACCAATGAATTCATGTGCACAAGTGACAAATGATCTTCAAGAAGAGAATTAGGAAATGAAAATATATCCTTGCAATCACTTCTGCTGTCAAGTTGATTTTAAGGGGATTTAGTATTCTAATTGCTATTATTATCCATATAATCATTATTATTGTTGTTGTTATTATTCTTATTATTATTATCATTATTATTATCGTTATTATTATTATTATTATTATCGTTATTATTATTATTATTATTATTGTTATTATTATTATTACTATTATTATCATTATTATTGTTTTTATTATTATTATTACTATTATCATTATTATCATTATTATCATTATTATCATTATTATCATTATCTTTATTATCATTATTATTATTATTATTATCATTATTGTTATTATTATTATTATTATTATTATTATTATTATTATTATTATTATTATTATTATTATTATTATTACCATTATTATTATTATTATTATTATTATTATTATCTTCATTATAATTGCTATTATCATAATTTTTATTATTATCACTGGTATTGCTATTATTATCATCATTATCATTATCATTATTATCATCATTATTATTATTATTATTATTATTATTATTATTATTATTATTATCATTTTTATTATTATTGTTATCATTATTATTATTATTATTGTTATTATTATGTTATTCTCTCCAGTACTTTGATGTTCTTCTGGGTCCTCTTTGTCTTGCCTCAGCTACTTCCCGCAGCTTAGAAACATAGAACTTTCCGTAATATGTGAGCTGTTCCAACGATGTCAGGTATGGCTAACTTCCCATGCCAGGTTTTTGCGTTCTTTGAGATTGTTCCGAGTGCACCGATCACGATTGGTATCACTGTCACTTTCGATGCTCTATGGATTCTCTTAATTTCGAATGCTAGTTCTTGATATTTAGCCATTTTCTCTTCCTCAGTATTGATGATGTTCTGGTCCGCTGGTACAGCTATGTCAATTAGTGTCCACTCCTGTGTATCTTTCCGTAGTAGAGTAATATCCGGTCGATTATGGTTCAGCTTCTTATCTGTGTAAACAGTCATGTCCCAGGTAATTCGAACATCTCTGCTCTCTGCGACTGCCAATGGCTGATGGTCATACCACTTGTCGGTACATTCTATCCCGTACTTTCTGCAAATCTCCCAAATGACCCGCAGGGCCACCTTGTCATGGCGTTTTCTGTACTCTCCCTGGGCAAGCTTTTTGCATCCACTGATAATATGTCTTACAGTTTCAGTAGAGTCTCCACACAATCTACACAGAGGTGTCACTGAAGTCTTATCTATGCTGCGCTTGATCGAGTTTGTTCTTAAAGCTTGTTCTTGGGCAGCTAAGATCAGACCTTCTGTCTCCTTTTTCAAAAAAACATTCCTAAGCCATCTCCAGGAATCTTCTCCAGCTACATATGCTGTTTGTCGCACAAACTCTCCATGCAGGTCTTTCTCCTTCCAGTTCCTGATTTTCTCCTCCTGTCTCCTCTTCTGGTAGTCCTGAAGGGTCTCTTCTTCATCTAACACCTTCTCCTTTAAAGCAGCTTGAAGCATCCACTCTGTGGTCTCTCTGAGATAGCCATGCAAGGATTTACTCTCCTTGTTTACACACTCCTCAATGCTTATCAACCCTCTTCCTCCTTCCTTCCTTGGCAGGTACAGTCTCGCAACATTACTTCTGGTGTGCATACATCCATTCATTGCCATAATTTTCCTAGTTCTTCTATCCATGCTGACCAGCTCTTCCACTGTCCAATCCACAATACCTGCACTGTAACATACTACACTCACGGCCCATGTATTGATGCCACTGATCATATTTCCTCCATTCAGTTTGGATCTGGATTATCATTATTATTATCATTATTATTATTATTATTATTATTATTATTATTATTATTATTATTATTATTATTATTATTATTATTCATTATCATTATCCATTATTATTATTATCATCATTAATATCATTATTATCATTATTGTCATTATTATTATTATCATTATTATTATTATTATTACTATTTTTATTATTATTATTATTATTATTATTATCATTATTGTTATTATTAATATTATTATTATTATTATTATTATTATTATTACTATTATTAGTGTTGTTCTTATTATTATCATTACCATTATTATCATTATCAAGTTTTCAAAACGAAAGTAAATAACTCTGATTTCATCATTTATATATCCCTGCCTTCGTGATGATAGTAACGAAAATAATGATAATGATAACAGCACCAACAACAATAATGGTAATACCAATAATAATAATATCAATAATAATGTTAATAATAATAATGATCATAGAAATATTAATAACAATAATAATAATAGTAATAATAATGATAATACAAGTGATAACAATAATAATAATGGTGATAATCAAAATGATAATTATGAAAATAAAAGTAATGATAACAATGTTGATAATAATAACAATAATGATAAACAGTAATGGTTTTGATGACAGAAATAATGAATGTAATAATAATAATAATAATATTGATAATTATAATTATGATAATAATAATGATAATAATAATAATGATATAAACAATAATAATAATAACAATAATAATAATGATAATAATAATAATAATAATAATAATAATAATAATAATAATAATAATAATAATAATAAAAATAATAATAAAAATAATAATAATAATAATAATAATAAAAACAATAATAATAATAATAACAACAATAATGATAATTATGATAATGTTAATAATAATGATAATAATATATTAATGATAGCAACAACCACAACAGCATAATAATAATAATGATAATGATAATAATAATAACAATAACAACAACAACAATAACAATTAATATCATAATAATAAAAACTTAAACAAAATGAAAAAAAATAACTCTTGAAGAACAAAGCGATGCATGGTCGATACCTCAGAGAAATGGATGGCAAAGACAAACTTAACACCTGGAGATGGTTGCAGAAAAGTGACTTGAAATACTGTACTGAGGCACGGATTTGTTGTGCACAGGAACAATATCTGCGGACAAATTACACCAAATTTCGCATTTGTACAAAGCTGAACACTAGACAAAGGTGTGGGAAATATTGCAAATGACATCAGGATAAACGTGTATCGTGCAAAAGAACGAGGCCATAATATACGCTTTGTGTGGATCCCATCGCATGTTGGAATCCCTAGGCATGATCATGCTGATCGCCTAGCAAAGTCAGCATGTGACAAACAAAGTGTAGATATAGATCTTGGGTTACCTCTTTCTAGGATTTTATACACCATTAAAGCTTCCTTCAAAGAGGACTTGACTGAATTAATTAATTCTCAACGCCCCGAAAGCTGTTGCATAAAGCACTATGACCGGTTTAGACAAGATTCATTCAGCTATGGTTTATATAAAACAAGAACAAGACAGTGTGATGTTGTGACTGCAAGAATCAGGCTTGGATATAGAATGTATTGGCAGGTCAGTACAGCTGGTAATGTCGAAGAAACTAAGTGTAAACTGTGTAGTGAAGAATATAAGCGAACACTTGTACATTATATCTCAGAGTGCCATGTGCTACAGCCTTTCAGACCACCTAGCATGAGGTACGGAGAACTATGTAACTACTTCATATCATCTGATGTCTTAGAAGATATAATTATGTTGTATCCTAAATTTGAAATGTAGTATCGCATGACTGCATATCAAATGTTTTGATACTTTTCCAAGCCCAAGCTATATGCCGGTGTGGTAGATGAGTACCTAAAGGACTGTGCAACTGTTTCCCTTCCTTGAATTGACAAAGTACTTATTATCATAACAATGCTATAGGATAATATCCAAATGTAATACCATTATGTAATGTTATGACCATGCATTAAATGTACTACAGCTTGCCCACGCCTGTGCAGTTAGCCAGGGTGGTAAATAAAGGACTAAACTAAAACTGTACAAAGCTGGTTGTGCTTGCACTGTATACAAAAATGGCTCACTACATCAAGTTAATATGAGAGTGCACAATTGGGCCAGCACTACACAAACGGAGCTGGCAGGTATACTCCTTGCAACGGAATTCTTAATGTCTCGGGGCTCTGGAGTAGTTTTCTGTGACTCTCAGAGTGCTCTCCGGACACTAAATTCTTTCAAAGCAGGTGACGATGAGGAAATTGTAAGTTGAATTAAGCGTAACGTAACCTGTGCAATAGAGTGCAATTTCAACATTCAATTTGTATGGCTACCATCTCATGTTGGCATAAGCAAGCACGACCACGTAGACAAATTGGCGAAGGAAGCCTGCAGCAAAGACAC